ATCGTGACGATGTCGAGGATTGGTGTCGTACATGTACAAGTTGTGCGGCCGTGCGGGGACCACAGACACGTAGTAGAGGAGCACCGAAATTGTACAATGTTGGTGCACCACGGGATAGGACAGCCCTTGACATTGCGGAGCCGTTACAGAAAGGCGCAAGAGGGACTCCTAAGATCGTCCACGTGGATCGCTTGGCGCGTTATTATGGGGCCGATAATGCTCGGGACGAGCATGTCTTAGGAGGGGGCAGATTTACGCGCTCAATTCGACGACACACTAGCGCCATCTAGTGTCAGGAACGAGAGCGAGGGGAGCTTTGCAGAAAATGACATCACAAATCTTTCAACCGACAGCGCCATCCGAAGAACTAAGTTTCTAGAAAATCTACACTCGCACACTCGTCCCTTTGCGCGCATTTACTTGAATATTCCGGATGCTTTATTGCTAATTTGTATATATAGGCGCTGCAAGATGCGATAGGGGCAGTATTGGAATTGGCGACACAAGCGAAGCTTCGGAGCGGAATAAAGTAAATTAGTGTTAATTTAGGTAATTTTATCAGCAATTTTTATTGTCACGAACCTCAAGCTCGTAACAGTATTAAGGATACCTTTGAGTATGACATAAAAAGAAAATCGATCCCGTTGAAAAAAAATCATTTTTTTACAACGTTTAATTAGCTTTATTCACGCTGTATCATGTTATTACAGCTAAACGAATCGACAATTTCATAAAAAAATCATGAAAATACCTAAACATGACACCAGCAGTGAAACTTAAATACTTAAAATCTAGCTGACAAGGGTCATTGTACGCGCGACGCTAAATCCGCTCGGCTCACAGCCACATGAGCAGCTAAACGGAATTATATACTCATGTCATGTGTCCATGAGTTTAGTTATACCTACGACTAGTCTTCAAGTGGAATTTAGAAGTTATAGTTGTCATTTTTAACCACTCCAACGTCCGTCCCACGCTGGTAAATATGCGTCAAACGTCCGACTACTCGCCGCCTCAAGCCGCGCGAATCTGTCCCCGCTGCTCGACTAACAAAAACCTTTGTAACAGCTAAAATATAATAGCTACAGCAAAGATAAAAATATTGAAAATAGCTAGACGTTTATAGATTGAATTTATATATATTTGAGAAATCGATAGTGATAATCTATTATTATTAAAATAAGGTTTAATATCAATTAACGAGTGGAAAATAAAAAAAAAACTTTCAATAAATTTGTTTTGTAAGCATAAAATATAGTAATTTTTACCAACAAAACACTAAAAAGAAAAACCAGATTCATTTTTCGTTAATACGATGCTAATATATTGATATATAAATATTTATAAGTAGCTAAACAAATCAAATCAAAATACATTCTCCTTGCAATTTTGCGGCGGTCTCTTGACTATAGCCGTGTCGTCGCGCGTCGTTCGAATTGAAGAAGATGGCCGTCCGTTTAAGGCCATCTAAACACGATAAGGTTGAATGAAATACGCATAAGTGATAAAATATTTTAATGATTTATAATTTTGGCTTAAAACGATAAAATTAGAAAACTATTTGCTAAATCGACGTCCCCGAAGAAAAAATCGTATTAAATAAAGTAAATTTTATTGGAGAAACAAAAATTTCGTAATGTGTTGCATTAGTTCCGAAGAATAAATTGTTGACTTTTGAAATAATAAGAACAAAAAAATATCACAAAAGGTAATGACAACTTCAAATACATTAAAAGTGTGCAAATACGATTTTCTTCCTCGGGGCCGTCGAAATAGAGAATATGCATTTCCGTAACAATATAATATATTTCATGAATGTTCGCCTAAATGTAGTACTCCATGAAACAGCCTTCAATACATAAATTAGTGTTACACTCCAAACACTTCCATATAGTCCTCGCCGTAACTTTCCGCTGAGCGCACAGCCAACAGCGGCTTTGTTTGAATCCGTTTCTGACGGGGAAATGTCGGTGCTGTAGTTGGTCTCTGTTGCTTGCTGTATTTGGTTTTCTTCGTAGTGTCGTTGTCGTCAGTCCGCTTAGACTTGTTATGAGGTGTGGTTCAATTGTCAGGTCAATAAGGCGGTGAATTTTCAATAACTCTTCAGCCAAATTTGTTCTAAATTGCCTATGTAAAATTTTTTGGTTACCAGATTTAAAAATAATAAAACTGTTGAAAATTGCAGTGTCGAAAAAGCGAAGGAAAAGTTTCTTATACCATATTCCGTTCTTTACGCGTTCCAAAGGACGTGCAGACAGGTATTGATCTTTCCTGTCCACACCTCCTTTGGATTTGTTGTAATCTAGAACAACGTTTGACTTAAAAGTCAGTCTGTTATATTTTTGTCGAGTCCCGATTTGAAGATGGTGATATGTCGAGATCAGGCAAACGATGTTAGCATCTCGCCATACACATATCGACAAATCGGAACTGTAGCTACACACTACTTCACCTTGTCTAAGTTCAGTCTTCGTCATAGTCTTCAATGAATCAGGAACAAATTCCCGATTCAGTCTTAGCGTGCCAAAGCAGTCAGTATTTAGTCGTTTCAGACATCGCGCTAATAATGGACTATTGTAGAAATTGTCCATAATTAACGTATGCCAGCGGTGAAGAAAAGGCTCTACTAGGTCATAAACTATTTTTGAGGTAACATTGGTCGGACAGTCACTTGTTCGGTTAGTCATTTCCGTGTCCTGCGATCTGCCCTCTAGGTTGTCGGCGTTAGTTAGGTCATTAGTCGTCGTGGTCGTAGGCACAGTCTTGGACTCTTCCTGCATAGCACAAACGAACAACTTCCAAAGGTAGTCGGTGGAAGACTCGCACAACTTGTAGGTTTGGACCCCGACTTGGGAAATCTTAAGGAAATTTTTTGTGCGAATCACAGCCTACCGTGCCACTTTAAAACTGATTCGTCTATAACTATTTCCTGGGAAGGATAGTACAAAGTCGAATATTTGTCATTAAAGTAGTCTATGATTGGCTGAATTTTGGATAGCTTAGTCATTTCTGTAATGTTGTTATTGTCAACGAAATGCATCAAATATTTTAATAATAGGTATCTGTTGTAAGTACTTTACGAAAATAAGGCATAGTCCCAAAACCATTAAAAGAGAAATAAGATTCTTCACCTGGGAGAGGATATAGGCCTTGCAAAATAGATAAGGCTAAGAAACAGACCGTTTCGTTGCGGTCAGTTGGTGTCCAGCGATACAGTCGTGAAGTCAGAAGAAATTTGTCTTGGTCTAGTAATAATGTTATTTTTTGATCGGCGTATCTATTAGTCTCAGTACAAATTCTATCTACGAAGTCACTGTCTATCATTTTATAAAATATGTCAGTAATACGTGTCTGGTCTGTCACAGTCATAATTGGTCCTGGAGTCCCGGTAAATGTCTCTCGTTGTCCGGTAAATATATTTTGGTCCTTCGTCCAAGTTAATAAGAAAGTAAAGTCAAGTTTATAAGAATTTATATGTAATTAGTATTTAATTTAACGTAATATAAGTTAAAATTAATCTAATATAACTTACTTTTTCCCAATGTTCAGGTCTGTAGCTCTATTTCTAGGAATAAATGATTTTTTATATTTTTTTATTTTTAAGTAAAGTCATAACAGTCCTGAGGTACAAATTCTCTCATAGCGAGATCATTTCGGCGGTCTTCAGCTTCTAAAACAATATTCTCGTGGTAATTCAAATCGCTGTGTATAGCAGGTTCTAACGATGCATTTCGTGGGGTAATTTGGACATATGGGCAGAGTTCGTCACCTAAGTCCAAGTCGCAGTCACTTGAGTCGTCAGTCAGTTTTATCCAGTCGTCAATAGTCTGCTCAAAATGTTTGCCATTCATACCTGCAAAAAACAAAATCAATATATTATATTTGGCGCTCTTTCATGTTCGTGCATTCAAGAATTTATTTAAGTTGAGGTTAAATAAATAAAATTAGGAGGACCGATCGAAGATCGGTGTTTACTTGTTGAAGGCGCCGTAGAGATTTCGACATCTGTCTCCGCCAGTGTTGCCATTTACACGGCAGTTGCCGTGTTACACGGCAATTTGGGTCTATACAGCAATAAAACACGTTAAACGGCAGCATATTAATTGCAGTGTTCTAAAACACGGCAATTCAATGGTTACTAATTTTTTCCGAAAATTTTATTGGTAGTCGATATGTCATTATAACGCGTATCACTAGACTACACTAGACGTAGTCATGACTCTATGAGCGGGGAAATCCCAACGCGAATTCGACATACATTCGCGCACATCATTGTTTATGGTATCCATTTCATTCTTTCGTCTTTTGAAAATTACATTAAAAAATATACTGCTGTTTATTTACTTTATTTAATTTTAATAGCTAAACACTTTATCCGATCTCAAGGAAATTGTATAAATTTCGAACCGACAAAACAAGTGATAGACAATACGAAGGAAAATAATAAATATAAATATAAGGGCAAGGTGTTCTGCCCGGGGAGCGGCCAACACTCCGTGTGATAGTTCGGAGATGTTCCATATATACTGTTTATGATTCGAAATTTGGATAGCGTGATTTAGGCTTCGGTGTGTTTCGCCTGCGGCGCGACGACAGAACAAAGACGAAGAAGAAGTTTTACGGCAACTTAAAATTGCGAAATGGCAACCCTGGTCCTCGTTGCCGTATCTGAAGCATAACGTTATACTAAACAACATTGTACGAGTTTCAATATAACCAAAAACTACCATTTTCCTCCACTAAGGCGGCCAATAGTAGCAAAAAGACCTGGGATAGAGCAGCAAAATCTCTCAGAAAATATTACGAAACAACGTTTTTCATTTATTGGGAGTGTTATTCATACATGATCGGTAATAAATTAAGTCAATTTAAATAGGGAAAAGGGATACAAAAAAGGAATACATCGACGAAGATCATTCAGATGACAATTTAGTCATCATCTTTATGATCTTCGTCGATTTATCGCTTTTTATGGTGCGTTTTGGACATCAATGTCGTATTTAAGTCTGTGCTCGATCGTCCTGGACCACCATCCAGAGAGCTGGCTGACCTGAGCACAGTATCGGCACTGGTGTACCACCACGCAAAAATGCCCTCCTCTCCCAGAGCGCTGCCACTAGTCGCTCCTCTGTAACAAAACAGTGAAAATTTAGATGTTTGACAAGAAGAATCTCAGCATCCGCTACTTCTACTGACTCTTGTTCATTGACTGGCGGTAGTTGAATATCCTCTGTTACAAACAAACAAACAACATTCAAAATCGCAATAAGATGAAGTCATCGTGAAGTTTAGTTAAACATTTACTTACCTATCTCGGCGTCCGCTACAATATACAATACAGTTGAATATCATCAACAACATTAGAAAATCATAATTATATTAGATTAGTGAGGTGAGGTCTAGTACAATATTTACTTGCCTATCTCGTTTGCCACAATTTCTGCTTGTTGTGTGGGTGGCACCAATTGTATCTAAAACAGAATTATAAACGTTATAAACATACCTAGCTATTATAAAACAAATATTAGAAGACAATAACGACAAATTATAAAAGATGGTATGTGGTAAAGAATGTTACCTGAAATAACGATTCTGCTTGACTGAGAAGCGGATTGGTCTATAAAGTCACATGGCTCACGACATGATTATGAAATGAAAAAAGATACACGACATGATTATCAAATGAAAAAATACAATGTATATAACGAAAGTGCGTATACTATAACTAACGTTGCGCATCTTTAACGTGTTGGTGCGTCAGGCAGCAGTATCCTTGTTAACCGGGACTCGCGCTCCCGGGCTGGCAGCTCCTAGCACGTGTCCGCTGGCGGCGCCGCTACACGGCTCTGCGTGAGTTGTCTGTGACCACGTACAACAGCCACGCTCTAGGCGTCTTCGTCGTCATCGTCATAGTTTATTGATTCTTGCCCCCATGGTTTTTTTAATAAAGCTTTTTTATAGCAACAATGAACTCATTGTTGCTATAAAAAAAGATAAATAAAAAATAAACACCAAGCCGAAAAAAATATGAAAATACTAACCTCACTTCGTCTCCCGATTTACCACGTCCTCTGTGAACTCCACGGCTCGCACTGCTTATACGTCTACCGCGATGTCCACGACCACCACGGCTTTCATAGCCATCAGACCCAGATGGTAGAGCACTATCACTCGATGATGTCCAATTAGAACATTAATGAGAAAAAAAGCATATTATATGGAAAATGTTCAACGATCTTCAAGACAGCTGCAGCCTCCACAAATTCGTAAAGGCACACGACTTAGTTCGGCTATCTAAAATTTGTCAAGCATAGTAAGCAACACCTCTCAACAAAGGCTAGGTATTATATAATAGGTGGGCAGGTAGTTGGTAGGTACTATGTAGTAGTAGTACTATTAGTATGAATCAAACACCTATTAAATTTAATATTATCAGTGCACCATCACCTAAAGCGTCATTGGATAAAGTAGAATTAGCATGCTTATTGTGAATTAATGTTAAAGTTTATGGCATTGAACCACTGAAAATAAGTTATTTGAATAAGGTGAAAAGAAAAAAAAGTGCATAAAACAATTGTGAAAATGAATCAATACAGTCAATATATAACAACAAAAATAAAACAGGTGATAACATCAAGCATTATTAAATATTGAAAACACACTTTCTCGTTTCTAGAGACCCCTATTTATAACTTTTGTTCGAACGTCCCTGGATACCGCATTAGCCATAGGAAAAAACCTGAAGAACACATTATTATTTGTGAATCCTTTGACATTTTAATATATTTTAACTAAAAAAGTGTATGAGTATGTTTATTAGAAATTTAATCACTATTACTTCACTGAATAGCACGTAAATCAATCATAAACAAGACGACTACTGACTGTGAATTACAAAGACGTCATTGTTTTGGTAAGCACAATATTTTGAAGTTCAAATTAGAGCCGATTTAGTAAGTGAAACTTTATCACCTAAGTATTATCACAAAGTACAAATTCTAAAGTTCATTTTGATGTACAATAATCTAACAATTAAGTAAAAAAATACGAAATACTTACGACATAATCACTGGTGCTCCGACACATTTTCGTGACAAGTCGACTGAAGTTGTTATTTTAAATTCTATGCACCCAAACACTAAACACTGTCGTCGTCTGTTATTTCTAGTGAAGTATTTCATAGATAATCATTTTTATCAAGCACGATGTTCATTTATTTCGGCATTTTTGAACTAGATGGCAATATTTACAACGTGTCGTTTTGGATAGTACACTATGCCGGACGGACGACGGCATACTTTGTTTGTCTACTACACTATCCTCGGACGCGCTAGTGGTTAATACAATTAGACAATCAATTGTACCCTGACGCAACAAGCGGTTCGTTACTACAAAAAGACATTGAGATTAACAAACGTACCTAATTGGGTTCTCACTTACACAATTATAAACAAAATTTCATTGTTATCTTTGATTTTGTACAATAAAATAGAAATAAAATGGTACTGAATAATTTAATAGTTAAAATCAATTGCAATTATGATCGACAATTAACTATGGTTCATAAAAGACAGCTTGATCTCTGCAACAGCTGTCAATAAAATCACGCCTATGAAGTCCTGAATTTCTTAGTAGTACAGACAGTACCTGTCAATGTCATACTTTATGGACATGGATCGGCATGAACTATAATCTATCACAATTAATCTAAAAAATAATTATTTTACTTTATTTTTAGATTAATTTTTTTTTAAATCCGTCGAATACTTTGAGTTTAAAAAGAGCTAGGTAAGTCAAAACCATTAAAAATAATTCCAAGTTTAATGGTAATTGCCGCCTCTTGTTTTTATTTCGCTTGCAAATTTTAGTAAGTAAATTTCGGTTTGGCAACGCCGCAACATGTGTGTGAAAGGGAAGGGTAGAGTGAGCGTAAATACAGTAACACCCAATAGATTGAAAGTAGAATAAAAATAAAAACAAAAATACATAGAGTAACTGACTCGTGTTTAGACCATAGGATAGAAAATTTCTTATAGATTCTATAATGCCAAACATCATCATAGAAAAGTAGTCTCTAAATATAAGTATTTATGGGTTAAAGTGCTGTGGTTGGGTGCGGTCGAATCCGACCGCTTGAATTTGGACGGACGTCATCAACATCGCCTTGGTCGGATCCAACCGTGTGCCCATTGAAAGGTTAATAACACCTTGGGTCACCACCGGCGAATTCAGTTCTTGCTTAAAACAACGCAATTGTATGGCCTACAAATAATCATTTTGGTTCATTTGGGTCACGAACAATCATTTGTTTTGTTTGTGTGTAGTAAAAGAACAAAATTTTGTATGTACAGTACATCTCCAACTACATGATGCAAGAGAAATTTATAATGTGGTGTTTTTATTTTTGATACTGTTTTTTACCTATGTCAAAGTCATCTGTTATACTCTTTGAACCATATGTAATTAGTGGCAAGTCATTCTCCGAATCCTTATGTCGATCGTCAAAAGCATCAATCTCCAAGTCTACTTGTTTTTCATCAGTATCTAGAATGAAACAGATTCTGACTCAATATACAAAATAAAAACTGATATTTTTTCTAAGCGATTAGATCATTACAGCCCATCACACAGCTCATGGGCCCGAGCCACCCACTTTCATTACCATACCGCATGTTTCATAAGCTAAGTGTGGGCCGAAGAACTGATTACCGATGGAGAAGAAAGGTTCTCCTAACGTGACATAATTGTGGCAGCCTCGTGCTGGTAGAAGAAGTGTAGGGCGGTCCCCCACTAGATGGAGTGACGACCTGGTAAGACATGCAGGAAATCGACGCAAGCAGGTGGCTCAGGACCGTGGTTTGTGGTGTTCCTTGCAGTGGACTTGGGAAGGGCTGTCATGATGATGACGATTCATTCAACTTATTTAGTGAGTGTTCGCCACAACTTGTTTTTAGTAGGCGAGTGCTTGCCAGTACAAGGATGCCCTGAGCACCTTTTTTCCATAAATTTTTAGTATGAAGTGACAAACAAACTAGCAGTCCACTGTACAGTAGCGGTATGTTGTCGATCCACCTGATGGTAAGTGGGTCCACGCACTGCCTGCAGCTAACAACAAACATAAATAGCTACAATGCGCTGTCACCTCTGACGACTAAGATGCAATGTCCCACAGCCAGTGATTATACTGACTCTATACTCTTCAGACTGGCACACAGCAGTGCATGCACTGCTATTTGACAAGAGATAGCGCTTTTTATATGCACTATGAATTTAGGCAAAGGCAAATCAGTCCACTGCATGGAAGTTCTCTTTATTTTGTGTCCATGGGCTACAGTAACCAATTGCCATTATGTAAATTGTACCTTAATTTAATAATATCACAAAATGTGTATATCTTACCTGTTTCATGACTCCAGTTTACTTCAAATTTGAAATTCTCATTTTCGATTTTCTCTTCCTTAACTTTAACAGATTCAAAGATAAAAATGTCGTCCTTACTATCATTTTCTATATCACACTCTGCTGGCCAGATATCTATATGATTAATTGTTGTGAACTGAATCTCATCTCTAGCCTCATGCGGTTTTGGTATTGACTGAAATCAAACTCATTTTTAAATAAGAGAAGAAGCCAGTGTAGTAGTGGCGTAGGAGAATCCATACTACCCCATACCATCCCGCAGATGCAGCAGCATCTTCCTGACAACAACTCCAAATAATAATAAAAAACGTACAAAAGTGAGAGTTCCCAATAAATTTAAATAATTATGTAGATAGTTTAGAAATGTAATTAGAATCGAGACTCAAGTCAAGAGTTTTTCTATAGCTTTTAAATATCTATAGCTTTTTAGCGAAATTGGTCTGCAGTTGTTGATATCCACTCCACTCTCATCTCCACTCTTGTGAACAGGTGTTACTAGGGACTCCTTGAACTAAGACAGAAATATACCGTTCTACTATATTAACATAATGTGTAGTAGAGTATGACACATGATTTGTGATAGCCGGTACATATTTGTGTTTATAACCACTCAAACGTCCGGGCGACCATAGTCGCCTAAAACTCTTTCCGGTTGAACGTTAGGGCGATTAGAGCAGCCTCGCTGACTTCTACACTTTAAACAAATTTTTATCAATGGAAAGTTACAAAAAGCTTCATGAATGTTGCACTAGATGGATCTATATTAAAAATGCATCTATCAGTTAATAAAAGGTCTATGCCTGGTAACAAATACCATTAAAAAAAAAAGAAACAAGCGTTGTGTCCAGTTGTGTCATGTTTTGTGTAGTGGCCAGTAGTACTGTGCATTTTGCTTTCTGTGAAAAACTTTCTATTCATATATCAACAAGTTGTATGAATCCAGTCTGTCATGATGATTTTTTTATAAGTGACGAAGTCGACATGCAAAAACTTCGCCTTTGTGTGTCAATCTTTTATTAAGTTTTTGTATTATATATTTTTTATTTCAATAAAATATTTCTTATATGTATAAAAAAAAATTAAAATAATAACATAAATTTAAAAATAATAATAGATTTGCCACATTTTATAGCCGCCTGAGAGATACTTAATATTTATATAAGGTTATTGTATTATTGGATAGGGTAAATCATGTTATATTAATTATTGTACAATTAATATATAGAAATAAAATGATTCTTCTATATTGTCAAAGAAAATAAAAATATATTAAGGTTTTTCAACTAAATTTCTAAAATTAATCATTTTTTTAGCTGTTGCATTTCAATGGGGTAAATTATTATTAACGTAATTGAATTCTGCTTCTCATTCACTTTCATTGTATGAGTATTAATTTGATATAAGTAACGAACATTCTCCGTGGTAATCATTTTAGTCAAACTGGTTGCAATAGGACCGTAAAAAAGCCGTGAAAAGTGGTGCGGGGTGTTCAAGGCTATTGTCGCCGTGTCGCTTGGATGTTCAATTGGATACGCCAACATTATAGTGATCATTAAACTGCCTGCCAAGTGATGATTAAGGCAAATATTTCATTATAATGGGAATGAACCATCAAGCAGTGAACTTTTATTAATAAGAAAAGTATTATTCCCTGGACCTTGTAGTGATGGTTTCAGGATATCCACTGCCCTATATACCTACCCACGAGACGGGTGTCGTAAGAGGCGACAGAGGGAAACAGAAACAGGAGTTGGGCAGCAGCATCTTGCTGATAACTACTCAGACTAATATAAACTGCGGTTCCCAACATGCCAAACGTGGCAAATTTTGCAAAATCCCTCATATGAAACAATCTACGACAGACTTTTATAGGGTTTATTGGATAATACCATGGACCCTCCTGCAAGCAACTGCTTCAGAACTGCATTTGACTCAATAGCCTGTTGTTGTAACATTCTGCATCGATTGAGTCTTGCATGACAGATGAAACAGACAATTATGGGCTCCTCATCTTCATCCATCTGAAAATATGAGTTTGTCATAAATATGGAAAACTACTTAAATGTACAATTTTGTAATAAAATATATTTGTCACCACAACTCTCTTCTTCAACACAATTTTTTTATAACATTGAAGTGTTTTACAAATCATCCATAAGTGATGTCATGATATCATAGGCAAACTTTCTGCATGCAGTTAATATATGGACACAATGCTCTAATTAATTTAAAATGTTGAGTGTCAAGGAAGTAGGAAGTCTGCATGACATTAACAGATAACATTTTAAAAGCAGTAGATGCAAACTCTTGGGACCCTGACAGAGGTAATTCATGTTTGGGCTTTCATAATTGAATCCTAATAATGAATGTATATTCATATTATAACTTTAAACTACTAGCATCACCATTAATATTACAAAATCTTTACTGAAAATGCTTACACTAGGAGTAACTTAAACAATAGTTAAATGGCAGATTTGAACTCACTACTTTCTAGAGTTTGCAATCATTCTAACTATTGGGCTACTATCACTAATTTTTAAATGAAGTTAATAACAATACCCATACCCTTCCCCGAGCAGTTTTAACCGTTTTGATTTAATATCAACTGCAGTATAAAGTAAGTTCCAGATAAGTTTGGACATCCAACAATTAAATTATTTTATTTCATAATGGATATTGGCTGCAGCATTTTGCACATAACAGGTCAGAATAATTAAAAAAAAACTGCAGTTGCCAACCTGTCTAGCCTAGGGTGGCAACTGTGGCAAATAACAATGATACCAAAAATGATTCTTAAAATATATAACATATATTCAACCCAATTTGGAATATGCCTCACAAATTATACTAAGTTACTGGAACCAAAAATGATTCTTAAAATATATAACATATATTCAACCCAATTCGCAATATGCCTCACAAATTATACTAAGTTACTGGAGAGGTTTAACACAGATATTCAAAAGTTCCAGGAGCATTGAAAGCATACCATATGAGGAAAGTCTGAAAACACTTGAATTTACAACTTTGAAAGATCACAGAAAATGAGGAGACTTGATGGAAAAATAATACATGGACACTATGATCTAGAAATTTTTGACAAACTATTATTACAGTACCCAAACAACACACATCTTAGAGGCATCACTTCAAATTGACTTAAGTCGTGTATTGGTATGTTTTTGGTAACTTTATTTAGCGCTGCACCTTAGCATAGCCCCGATCGATAGGCATCAGGCAAATTATAATGTAATGTAATGTATAATGTAATTTCTCCAGCGATAACAACTAATTACCGCAACTTCAATTTGCAATATTAAGAAGGATTATTAAACTTACAAAACTGTTCGTCAATGCTCTATATAAATTTTGGAGGCCAGTCTTCTTTAGTACACACATGCGTACATTAATGGTTAAACAAATTCTACAAATTTCACTGAAGGCCATTCCTGTTTCCTATAGCTTTAATGTAATTATATTCTCTTTTTCACTAATAATCCGAAGTTTAGAAGCAGTAGCAGAACACAAATGACTTCCAGGTATATATTAGTACTCTGTGCAAATGACAAATATGCAACAAGACAAAGTAACACAGATTAGGGATGATCGATGATCATCGATGTTAGAAATTAAAACATCAATGTTACCATACCTTATACCAAAATCAATATCAGCTAAATATTTCATCTCCTATTTAAGGTTTAAAATTTTGAAAAAAAAAATATCATTATATTGTGTCAAACTCCCTGTCAATTTTGAACTGTAATGTCATAGTCGTAACTGATTTCGGTTTGTTATCGTGGTGTCGTTGTCGGTTATCGCCTAATCACTATTCTAGCTAAATTGATATTCAAATTAATCGTTTTTTCCCTTGCTGTCTATACACACATGATTTTGAAACAATACAAATCTACACAATTTAATTATATTTAGCTGTTTTTTGAGCTTAGGATAACAAGTTTATTGTTTGCTTGAAGTTTATGAAAATAAATCACTGGGCGATCGTGAGCGTATACAATTTCACCGCAAAGTGCATTTTATAAACGGCTGTGGATACTTACTGCTTGGCCTGCCTGATTAAAAATTGTGTGAACAAAGGTGACGGAAAAGTCTATTATTTTGTTTTTGTGAAGTTTGTTAATTTTCCTTCTATAATCATTTTTATATTCCGCGATAAGAGTAGTCAATATAAAACCTACGTCTAACTCATAAATTATGATAGTAATTTTTTTAATACCGGATTTATAATTATATAGGTACATTTAAATATCAAAATAATAATATTCATCATTATCAGCAAAAATATAACAAATTAACTAAATATTTGTTAAGTTTTTCCCATTTTTCCAATTATTCGTTCACACTAAATGTTTTTTTTTAATTCCTTTAATTTCATTAATAATAAACCATAAAAACACTACAATTTCTTTCATCTTATTTTAAACTACTAATAGGTACATGTGCTATAACATCGATAGTGGCCAACATCGATGTTTTGAGTAGGATATACATCGAACATCGATGTTAAGCTATCGATATCAACGTCGATGTCATCATCGATGTTTCTGTAACATCGATCATCCCTAACACAGATCACTATAAACTACAAAAAAATGTCGTGAATGTCGTCTCCACAGATTACCTCCTAATAGATTCCGCATACAGGGCCACAAACGCGCGCAATACATACTTGCTGTAGCTAGCATATGAAGTGACGCTAAGAATCACGATATCATTGTCGACCAAGCTTGTGACCCGTAGGCACGTCAGAGTTTTTGAAAATTTAAAAATAATTTTGGTATCCAAAATACATTACAAATGACTTCCTATGCAGTGAAATGGTGTAGCAAGTCAGCTAACACATCCAGTTATCAAAAAGATGGCATACTATTTCATCGGTAAGTAAATTTTATTCTTATCACGTTAACCTATTTCAAATGCACCGGAGTTCAACTTATACTGGATATATAATGTTGCAAAGTGATATCATTTGAGCACCCGTTGATGTCTTTTTGAAATGTCCCTTTCACTTATTACGTAAATTAAAATAGTTGTCTTTGTCTAACGACAGCACGTGTATCGATAGTGTTGTGATTTATGAGTCGATATTTGTTTGGTCATTGTTTACTTTTTTTGTAGTCATCATTTTATACAAATAGTGGCGTATAATTGTGCTACCTATATGTTATAGGTTTCCTAAATGCCCCGAAAGGAAAAGATGTGGATCGACGCTACATGTCGAGGGGACCAATGGTTTCCCACCAAAAATAGTGTGCTATGCTCAAGACACTCCACAGAAGACAATCTTCATATTACGAAAAACCGTAGAAGGCTGTTGGATTCCGCTATACCATCTCTATACTTGCCAGTTTTAGTATGGACTTTTACATTTTTTAAAAAGTATAATACCAATGGTGATTACACAATAAGTAATAGCATTAAGTGGTTGATTGAAACGTGATATTCTAATATTTAGGCGAATGTTACACGTCGAAATTAAACTATTTTTAACGGATTTATAAATCATAGAACAAGTGAAAGTTATAATGTGATTAATGTTATTCTAGTGTTACATGAACTTTAGTAATATCCTATTATTATTATTATTAAGTACATCTAAATTTGAAACACGTACCATATGGTTTTTTAATTAATAATACTACTTTTAGGTGCAACACTAGGCAAAAAATACTGTCACCACCGAAAGGACATACCAGAACACACACAGAGGATTCACACCATATTGTTAGTGAGATAAAAGACCTACATCTCGCTGACAATGAAACTATGGTCAGTTTTGGTGTTCAGTCACTATTCACATGCCTACCTATAGAAGACTGCTTCTCAATAGTAACTAGGAAGCTACAAGATAACAACATGCCTGCAGAATATACAGTATTACTCAAACACTGCTTCACATCTGGCTATCTATTGTAGAAGGAAGAGTTCTACAAGCAAGTTGATGGCGTGGCGATGGGCTCACCTGTATTTCCTATAGTCGCCGACATATATCATGGAGAACTTTGAGGAGAAACCCTTCCTACTGCTCCTATAAATCCAAGATTCTACAAGCGGTACGTAGACGACACTTTCAAAATTTTACCGTCTGACAAAGCAACTGAATTTTTAGACCACCTTAACTCAATGAGCTACAAAATACAAATCAAGATAGATTTAGAAGCAAATAATACTTTAGCTTTCCCAGATGTTTTAGTCATCCGAAATCCTGATAACACTATTGGTCATACTATGTATAGGAAAAAGGCCTATACCAATTTAAATGGTTAATCTCACCATCATTCTTCGTAGTTTGCTACTGTGGGTAAATATTTGTTTCAGAGATCACAGGGGATCTGTGACAGAACCCTGTGAAGAAATCTGTGAAGACCGCCGAGCTTCAGCATGTCAAGCAAGTATTGCAAGACAACAAGTTTTGGGTCCCAAGCCTATGTCACAGCGATGGAGTGAAGCCGGCCACAGTCGGTAGATGGGTGCTGCCATCTGCTTGGGATCCTATAATTAACAAAATCTATCCAAAACCAAGCATACCACTGATCAAGATACTGTAAGCTCATTTAATGTAGATTGGGACCAAAAATCAATATTCAAAAACTGAAGATAGCTGGGCTAACTATGCTATTGAGATTTCAAACATCTCAGTTCCCCCCCCCCCCGTGACCACAATTTAATTAAACACCATAAGATCTATATAATTATATAGTTTTATTCATTGTGTAGTGTACAAATATATATATTCTTTTATTTATATACACTGTTTTATTTTTTAATAAATTTTCTAATAAAAATTGATCAATTCATTTATTTATCAATAATCAATAAATCTCAAATTTATCGATCAACGACCCATCCCTGTCCCATCACTATGATTCGGAGCATTCTAAGTTCAACCTTGAATTATCCAATCACAGCGCATTTGACACGTCCCCCCGCAACTTGAAATTTGGTGAAATCGAAACAGAACAAATATTCCATGATGCGGTATCTATTAGGAGGTAATCTGTGGTCGTCTCATTCCCGCGCGTTGTCGACCCCAGATGCTAAACATAAAATTAAATAATTTTGTCTAACGTTGTCTGACACCTACATCCTACCCTGTATACACCACCCCAACGCTGTGAGGGAAGCGCAAGGTTCATTAGGTTTACCTATAATTATTTATTTGGGTAACAATAAACGGTAATTATCTTGACCTATAAGAATTTCTGGTTTTACAATATTACAACAAATCTTATTTTTAATTTTATACAAATACTTATAAGATCGAAAATTGATTATAGACAAGTCCTGTTTAGGTAATGATAGCTCTTTAACACTACGGGCATTAATACAAAACATACTGCCCGCCCTGTTTCAAACATTAAATTTTACAATATTTACATTACATTGTAGTTGGTTCCCACTCCACAAGCCACATACGCGCATTGTTTCGCGGCGGCCGCGGAACTCGGCGCGCTCAGCTAAATTGGCACTTATCAATGAAACAGTAGACCCGTCGTCGAGCAGAGCGGTTGTGCGAAATGTACCGTTAGGCCCATTAATGTTTATTGGTACTACTTTCAATAATATTTTACAGTCAATGTCACTTACATGAGTCACAATTTCTGAAGGGGATTTTATCTCAACTGCCTGCTCGTTAGACGCCGTACTTTCCGCTCGTATGTTCTCATTACTTACGGAAATAATGCGGTTGGCGATGGTAATCCAGCCCGCAGTCGTCTTGGTCTCATGCAGCCGGACACGTCTCCGTCTATAATAACCGCCACATATATACGGAATTTCGTTTCGGGATTCCGTTTCGCAATTCCGATTCACTTTCTTTTTCTATTCTGGAGGCAGAAAAAGGCGTAGATTCGACATTTCCATAATAATACAAACACCATAGACTTTACGCTCAACATGATTCTTCCACCCCTGTTACTGTTCCCCCTAGCTCATCATTAAGAAATGATATAAGAAATAATTAATTAATGTCGAAAGAGTCGAAAGAGAATAGAAATCCGATCGTATTTAAAAAATAAATTCTGGATAGGCTCGTAATTTGGCCCTTTTCACATAATACCGGCTATTTTGTAATCTTAGGGTGTTAAGGGGATGCACCCAGTAACGGTGGCAATATGTTTTCTTGCAATCAAAGTTAATGCAATCGCAATATCTTCGTCCATATTCGGTGGCTGAATATCTGTAATACTTAATGGCTGGCATCACTCAACTGAGCCTTGTTATTCCGAACGGAAAAAAATGTATGTGTGTGATGTAAGTACTGAATTCCGAATCGAAATTCCGACACGGAATCTCGAAACGAAATTCCGTATGTAAGTGACCGGCCTAACGCGATAC